AGAGACGGTAGCTCTGGGCGCACGTACTAGGGGCGCGAAGCCGCTGGCGGCGGTCGGGATTTGGGGAGTGTAGTTCGCGGAGTGTAGTTCTCGGGAGTCGAGAGGAAACATGTCTCCAGCTTTGCTACGCCAAACATGGCCATCACGAGGAACATGTCCTCTCCAGCTAGCGCGCACAACACAGCAAGCAGTAGAACCTGCATGCACTCATCATACCACTCGTAGCGGATTCTACCTCGCGCAAGGCGCGCCATCCCCTCGCTCCGTGTCGGGTGCAGTGATGAGGGAGAGCGACCGTTGGGTTTCCCGGCGGTGCAGCGGTGCAGCGGTGCAGCTGGGGTTGAATTTTTGCACTTGAGGCTGCGCCGCTGGCTGGCCTTCGCCAGGCAACGTGCGGCGGAATATTTTTTCGTGTCAAGTGTCAACCGTTACCTTTTTTCGTGTCAATTTGCCAACCGTCACTTTTTTTGGTGTCAATCTATCTCAGTCCAAATTTTTCGTGTCAATTTGACGTGGGAACCCAGGAATAGTCTTAAGTAAACACAATCGAAGGTGTGGACTGATTGACGGCAGAGTGGATTGAGTCAACCGCGCAGGAAAATGCACGTGCGTGTTCTAGTGCTCTTTCATGTGAGCTGGAACGAGTTGTACAGGGTATGTATGTACGGGGGAGCCTTTCGGTTCCGATAATGCACTGCTGTCTAATATAGTCTAGACTATTGTCTTTTTAATGTGAAGACAACAATGTATGTATGTTGGCTATTCAACTCAATACCGGCTCTATTGGAGGAATTGTTGAACTTTTTTTCGTCTCTTCTCCGGCAACTTGTCATGGTTCACGGTCAGGTAGCTCCTTCCGCGCTCCATTCGGCTTCAGCTCCCACCATACAGGTTTGGCTCTTTTATCTCAAGACCGGCTCTATTGGAGGAATTGTTCGACTTTTTCCGTCTCTTCTCCGGCATCTTGTCATTGTACTCGGTCAGAAAGCTCCTTTCGCGCTTCATTCGGCTCCAGCTCCTCCCTGCCAGACGTCGCCAGACCTTTCACCAGAACATTCATCCGCAGACACCGGAACAGTGGTGAGAAAATGCTCCCAGAGCAGTCGCTTCGCGTGATTGGAAGGACATTAGACTATACGGATTACCGTGTGATCTCCTTTACAGCTTGACTACCAGGTACATGATTTTTTAGGGTGATTCTTCTTGCGTTGCTTCTTCGGGACTGGCTGCGCTTGACCGCCGAGCTTCACGACGGATATCCAACACGACACGGCCTCACAGCGACAGCAACGCCTACCGCTGCTGTGCCATTCTTGGTCGATGCAACGTTGTTTGGCTGTTTGGCCGTGATTGCTTCATCACATAAAAATACTCGTCGGAAAGATGTCTTCAAAATGTTCATTTCACGTATTACCTGTTTCTCACTACCAGTTCCTCGGCGTTTTCTCAGGTTCTCGGGTTCGTGCGTGCAGTTGTCCTTGTCCAACTGCCCAAAACACGCGTGTGGAATAACCACAGCACTACTGTAACAAGTTGCCCTTCCGAGATAATGTTTTAACGCATGCATGTGTGCTAGTAGTTCTGGCGGGACACACGCAAACGGATTGAAGGCTGTGAAAGAGCTGCATTTTGTTGCCCTACCGAGCAATGCCTATTGAGGTCCCGCCATCATGCCAACGATTGCACATCTCAACGCTTTGCTCCTGTTACTCTTCTCCAGGTGGCAATGGCCAGTCCTAGCGATGAACCTCCGGGAAAGTACTTCATCCACACAACAGCGTCGTTCTTCACCAGCGATTTTTTCTTTTATGCTTTCGGTAAGATTGTGTGTGCGTGGGGCGTGAATAGAACTGCTTGGAAAATCTGTTGATAGCTGCCCTCGAAGGGACGGCGGTGCATGCAGTTGGGTGGCCCTCTGGTAATACTCCTATACAAGAATGATCTACAGTTGTACTGTAGCGCTCGCACTTGTTAAACATCTTGCTTTGGTCGAGCATCGTATTTTCTCTGGGTACCCCAACAGCGTGTGCAAGATTCTTGACTGAGGACCTGTCCTTGGCCATGTTCTTAAATGTATCCACTACCATACATTTGCCTAGTGTGCTTCACGTGCTGTTGTTCCCAGCTTCATATGAACAGGCTTCCAAACGAATTCGTTTGCCGTCTTCGAGCGAGTGAAAAGGGAGGAGTTTTCGGCGAGGAAAAATAAATCGAGGGAGATGCACGTGCGTGTTCCAAATCCTTGAGCAACATGGCGATGGTGGGGCATGGCGGCTCTACATAATAAGTTCCAAATCGTTCCTAGGTCTTGTCCGAGGCTCTATTTTGCACGAATGACGATGCTGAAGCTGAAGCTTGAGCCTCATCTACGAACATTATTGTTCGTTTTCGCCCCGCGTGCACATTCCATGTCATCACGATACCCACCACCCTTGGCGGACCGGGCTCATAAGTCGATCTTGACCGATGGCGTACGTCTCGCGACATTTCGAGCATGATTCGGTAGTTGTTAGAGAGTCGTGGACTCTCGCCAAGCTCATCAACTTCGGCCGCAGTAGCGTACGCCAGAAGTGTGCACCCATGTGCGACCATGCGCGCTGTTTCGCTCCTCTTTACTGGTTCGCCGAATTCCTGCCTTGATCGCTCTTTTGTCCTCGTCTCGAACAATTGTGGAATACGTCGAATCTCAGCGTCCGGTTGGCAGCAACTAACAGCCCATGCTCACTACATACAGTGGTGGTTTTGTAAGTGAAAGTTTGTATGGGCTGAGTGGGTTTCTAACGCGACCTATTTAGCAGTGCCAACAAGTCAAGATACGCCGAACGTGCACACTTTGCGCCAATGTACAAGCGTCCCGCTTACGCCAGGCGTGTGCGCCCAGGTGCGACCATGTGCGCTGTTTCACTGCTCTGCATCGGCTCATCGCCTTCCTGTCTTGCTCACTCGTTATGTCTTTTCGAAATATTCCGAAATTCATCGAATGTTTGCGTCCGCTTGGCAGCAACCAATGATATGGTATTCATTGCGAGTGATGGTCAGAAAATGAATGTGTGTGTGGACTGAGGGACTTTCGATTTTCCATCGCGACCGAGTCATGCCACTCTTTTTGTCTTGTCTTCGAAACACTTCGGAAGAAATATCGAACGTGAGGGTCCACCTTGCAGCAACCAACGGCATCATCATCAGCAGAAACCGATATATGGGGGCTCCTGCGCTAATCAACCTCATGCACGTTTTCATACACACATTTTCACACCGCAATTTAGTGAAGTTAGAGATTCCATGACGTTCGTACGCGCTCCACGTCCGCACAACTTTTTTGAGGGACGGTTCCCGAGCAATTTCCACGGGAGTTTATACGTGAGAAGTTCAGAGGTTCGTGGAACTCGACTAGCTTCCGCGGAAGTCGCATGGTGATCTTCCATGGAAGTCTATTTAAACAATGTCCATGGAAGTCGCCCAACTTGAAGTAGCTTCCATGGAATGTTCGACTTCCATGGAAGCATTCTGGCACAATTTCCATGAGGAGAGCATCACCCGAGTTGAGCTCCCGTGGAAGCTAGCATGAGCAACTTCCATGGGAGCTTTCGAAGAATCCTTCCATGGAAGCTGGGAAACGGGGACGACTCCCACGGAAGGAAGTGGTTGCTAGAGTTTCCTGGCAACATCAGTATGAAATTCCATAACAATGTCAGCCAACTTACATGTGACAGGTAGCTCTTGTTGACAAATATTTGGAGGTACCAGGATATGATACAGTTTTGACGAATTTGTGCAAGTTTCGGGCACACAAGAACATTTTCGGTGTGACGTTCTCTAAGGGCATTCCATGGAAGGGCGCACCCTCGTGAACGATAGCTGTGGAAGATTCTCGTGCAAGATTCTCCAAAAGCCCTTCGATCACCAAGGACGCTGGATTCTGGTGATATTTTTGCATGATACAGCTTCGATGGACATCGCTATGAGTATGGCATTCATGGAACTTGGTTGAATGGACCTTGGCGTGCTTCCATTGAATTGTCTTTCATGGTCGACAAACGTTTCCATGGAACTTTCTTTCATGGGCGATGTCGAGCTTTCATGGAAGTTGTCTTGCAGCCCTCACAAACGCCTCCGTGGAAGTAACTTGCACTGAAGTATGACGTTCGGGAAGGGTTCGACGGACAAGCTTCCATGGAGTTTATTCCTTGAATGCGTTGGCACCGGAAGCCGACACGCAGCTTCCACATGGGTTCCATGGAAGTTGTGTGGATTCCATGGAAGTCGTATCAATTTCCATCGAAGGGTGGGAAGTTTCCATGGACTTCCATGGAAGCTGTGGTGACTTCCATGGAACAGTATCTCAAATGATGTGGGCTACCCGCTCTCTCCCCTCCGAGAAATATATTCGCTCCGAAAGGAAACAAGTTCGGACTACGTATGAGAGTGTCAGGGACCTCTGGCAGCGACCGCATCAGCAACCGTGATCGATCCATGCACGTATATCATGTACACACGCGTACAAAATATAATGGCGAAACCAACAACTTCAGACAGGCAGCGCCGAAGATACATACTCGCGTTGGTTTATCACGATCCGGAAGATCGAGAGCTCGCCTGGAAATACCTGCCAAGACACCCGCATCAAATCCAGGAAGGAATAATTTTGTCAGAACCCCTGAACATTATTTTACGGCCCGAATAATACATCAGGCAAAAGCGAGTACCGACAACAAACTCGGGTGCACCAAGCGCGTGCCTCAATTCTCACTACTGTAGCTCCCTCTTCCATTTCCTCTGGTGCTCTTTCTGCAGGAAACACTCCTCCAACGGATCTCCTGCAGCACGTGCCACACGATTCTCCGCGCGCCGATGTTCTCTGCTTAGGGTGCGGCGACATTCGTGACCTGCTGTACTCCGTTCTATTGCACGGTAAACGGGGTGTAAGCTGTGGGCCTGTGCTGCGTCCGCTGTCGTTCACTCTGAACGATTGGGAACCCGCCATTCACGCAAGGAACCTGATGCTGCTGCAGATGATTCTCGACTCTCGCGGCCTCATGGACGTCCCCGACGGCATCACCCACCGCATGGGGTCTCTGCGAGGCCTCGGTGACCCAAGCAGAAGCACTGGACCCGCAACATCAGCAGCAGGGAAGGAAGGCGGGGGCATGGATGCCGAAGATTGTGGTGCCGTGTTTGCGCAGAGGATCGGTGTAATCTTTTGCGCCCTGTTCAACATGTTCGTCGACGCTGAAGTGTTGGCCACAATCCGGGATGTCGCTGGAAGGCTAGCAGCATCGGCCGCGTCTCCCGCGGAATGGGCGTCGACCGAGCTCGGAAGTTTCGTCCACTTCTCCGACGACCGCAGCCAAGACCGTGTGCGTAAGATATGGTTTTCGTATATCGATGGGAGCTTGCAGGATAATGGGGTTTTTATGAAGATCAGGCAAGAGAGGTCTGCTTTCTTGGCCAAGTACATGCCCAAAGGGAAGAAGCTGAACTTCGTGTCCCGGGCGATGGGCCTGGCGTCGTGTCGCTTGCCCGAGACAATGGAGGCCAGCTCCAAGATGCGTCGCCAATGTAAGAATGAGCTGCACGTCATGCGAGGGAAATATTGATCGACAAGGTTTCAAATCTCGGGTTAGCTGTAGGCGCATTCCCTTAAAGCTTGTATGCTATGCGGTCACCTCATCCGACTAGTCATGTCCATGCAGACTAGACTTCACATGTGGCATTCGTCGGGACAAGCAGGAACGATGTATAACATAGGCCGCTTTTCTTCCCCAAGATATGTCGATAATCTCCTACACAAGTGTCGGACACAAACATACCAAGAGCAAGAGCAACATGAGTGGGCCTGCCCATCGCTTTTTGTCATTTTTGGTTTGTTGAACGAACGATTCTCTTCCCCCACTTTCTGCAGTAGACCGGTTTCAAACACACGAAGGCTCCCCCGCATGGCCTGTCAGTGGTTTTGGGAGACCGCCGTGCACTTTCATAACGAACAGGCGCCCAACGCTACATTACAACGGTCAAGAATACATGAGTGCACGCAACTCATGTTTTTTTTTTCCGCATTCGACGATGCGCTTGAAACCTGTACCGTGCGTGTTGTTGGTTGAACCTTGCTCCAGACCTCCGGGAGGGAATACTCGATCCGTTCCCGCTGCTACGTGAGGACACTCCAGCCAAGCGTAGAGGCCCGTGCAAGCTGGTCAACCCGCTTCTACTGGTGACGGAGAGGAAAGGAGCGGCTTCTAGCCTGCACTACGGGGCTTTCCCGCTAGATGCTTTCAATACAGGCGGTATGTGTCTTTCTGTAAGGAAACTGCACATGTAGGCATACAAGCGTGTGGGCACAGGGTATGTTAGGATCGATCCTCGGATCTTTCACAAACCTCACTTCGGATGGTTTGACCAAGTGTGTGCGTCGAAATGCAAAAGCTCATGCTTGACTAACCCGACCCTCTGTAGATTTTCTCGAGGTTCGCCATTTCGGAGATGTCGCAGACCTAGCGAATGCTTTCGTTGGACAGCTTGCCAACCCTTCCGCTCACCCACATAATGTTCTAAAACCAGCGTCTTTGTGGAAGCTACGGCCCGAGAGATTCCAAGACGAGTACGGCCAACAAGCACCGACGGTCTCTAAGCCCCGAGAGATGCACTCGCAAATAGGCGGCGAAGGTTCAAGGGTCACCAGCATTCCTACTAGCATAGCACAGGAAGCCTGGCTGAGCACTGCGCTAGAAGAGCTCGCCCAGATGTGTGGGGCTCTGCTTCGAGTAACTGCCACGAGCAATGCCGATTCGTCGGCGGGTTCGCGCCTCAGCATCAACGTCCACGTCGGAGATGCACTCAACTTCTGTGATACGCTATTGGCATGCGCGTCCCCGGCGTGGGGCTCGGCCGACGCCGATGGTGACGCTCCGAAAGAGTCGGCGACACGAGGTTCGCCCGTTGCATTCCAGCAAGACACACTGCAGCAACTGCACCTACGGGCGGGCGCTGTGACGGAATTTGATGTCATCTCATCTAGCAACCTTGCAGATTGTCTCGGTGGGTTGCTCCAACGAATTGCAGGACTATGTTGGCACTTCCTGGATTCCACGTTCACACATTGTCAAGGTTGTATCTTGGTTTGGACGCATACGTGCGGAGATGGCATGGACGAGAGCAAGGCTTTTGACCAACATGACCTTCCGCACAGCTTTCGCCGGAGGCACAGAGAGCTGCCCAAGAGTGATGGAAGAATTCTGTCCGAGGAGAGTAGTTCACGCAAGGAAGAAGATGAGCAACAATGCAGAGGGCGTCGAAACGAACAAGGGTACACAGCAGTGGATTCGTTCGGTCATCGCTTGCAGTTTCATCCGTTTGCTTTAGTTTCTGCCTTTGAGCCGGGGAATATCTCAGCCTCCCTCATGACGCCGTGTTATGGGGTCATGGCCTTTGGAAGCATATTCTGTTTCCTGCCGCACTTAGACTGACGTATTTTCTCTTGGTCGGCCTGTTAGCGCGGTCAATGCTACAGCAAATATAACCACATACACGGCGTCAACGGCATCACGTCCCGAGAACCTTGGCGGTGTCGATGCGTTGTTCATCATTGGACTGCTTTTGTCCCTCAATATGACTCTGTCCTTCTGTCGCAATCAGGCATCATCAACGTCGTGGTGGCTTCTGCGCCGCTCCTCAAGGCACACCGCTATGCCGTCCTCCTCACGAGCTTCATCTCCACTTCACATGTGTCAAGTCTGTTCCAAGGAACTCAGGAGTTTTACGAGAAGCTGTTGTGCATGAACTCGCACACGGCAGCGGTGCTCCTAGGTGAGCCGCTTGCAACGGAGATGTGGAGATTTGCGGTGTGTCATGGCACACGTGTGCACAGTCTATTCATTGGTGTAGCGGCGGCCCTTTGGGTGCCTATCTCTTCCCTCGGTATTCATCGCCTAGGCTACTGTGTGTACCTCTGAGGCCGGGTGAACCGAAGAACACGGCGATGATGGTTGCGAGGTTGTCGTTCCGTTACCCAGCTTTAATACATTGGGCACCCAGGTCATCGACCGTCTTTCACGGTAAGTCAGATAACCATAGCATCCATTCTACTGTTCCAGTATCGTCTCCTTGTATCCTATGGGGCATCCGGAATCAGATATTATTTTGCCGCCCCGCGTCTACAAGAGGGAAATCCAAACGGAAACATGCATGCATCACAATAGAGTTTCATCTGAGGCAAAAAGTACGGGATTGGTGGTGGGGGTTAAAACATCGCGCATCTGATTCCTGGAGCCCACCGCAACAAAAGCCACTTGTCTTGCGAATCGTTAATGGTAGGCCTTTGCGTACATCCCGCAGTTGATTAAGGGTAGACACCGCAGGTGTTGACTACACCCAGCTGTACCCGCGCGACAATGCGGTAATCCTGAGATACGGAACCCTTCCAGATCCTGGAAAAGAGACAGATAGAGCCTGCAGGTGGTATACCGATAAAACCCTTGGCTTGCGAGGTACTCAACCGCGGCAACACGCATTGATCCTTCTTGTGGGTTTTTGCGTAGATCCTACACATGACAACAGCAGTGAACACCGTAGACGCTACCTACTCCGAGATGTATCAGCGCGAGCATCTTTCAGCTGCTACACGGAAAGCCTTCAGGCCCTGGAGATGGAACTCGTAGGCTCGTTGCTTGGTGGGGTCTGCGTCAGGATACATACCGGCAACCCTTGTAGCTGCCAGGTATTGGCACCATTTCACCGGTTGGGAGGATTGTCGATGAAGCTTTCAACGCACTGTTCAGGCGAACGGGTTCGCCATCAAACGTGAGGAATCTCCGAGAAAATGCAACCCTCAGACAACACGAAAATCCGAATATCAATACTTGGGCATACGTGTGTCTTGAAATGGTTTCGTGGCGTGACGTGGTCCCCACCCTCCATGTATGCTCGTTTCGGCCGCCCCAGGTGTAGCACCAGTGTCGAGCCTCTCATCCGTGGTTGGCCATACAGACGTCAACGCGCTCATCACTGGAATGTTTTGGCGGAAGATATGTCCGGAGTCGGCGGAGAACCCTCTTGGTCCGTCAGCATCGAGCCTACTGCGGTTGGTATGGAAGCACCCACAAGCTGTCGCCACCACTTTGGCAAGTACTTACATTACAGCTTACCTTCTCGCGAAGCGCTGGTGATCGTTCGAGTCCGAACGTTGCTCTGAAGAGGTCCAGTCATAGTTGCACCTTCCCCAGCAACCCCACAGGCAGTTCAGCATTCGATGGGGTCGAGCGAGAAGTCGGCTATTGAAGAGTCAACGAGACCTACGTAGCCCGGGTCACCTACAGTACTGTTTCATAAATTTGTTTTTGCCATTGTTGTCTCGATGTGCATGCCTGGAATCCTTTGGGCCGCTATGCCTGACGTCCGCTGAATTTGCTCATGTATCTCCGTGAAATGCCCATCAGGGTGCAGGGCCTTCGAACAACGTCCTCGTGGATATCAGTCCGAGGGATTTCGTGAACCTGACGTTGCCGGTATACAAGGAGATGTTTGGGCACATGCCGAAAACGTCCATGCTCGCGTCACGGAAGTTCCACCTACCCGCCAACGAGGCCCTCCGTTCTGCGACCTTGCTCAAATATTACACGTCGGTGTCGTTTGGTCGGTTGCTGTCGTTGGCCGGGCGCCGACTGCGCCTGAGGGTGGCCCACTTCGACTCGGTGCTCGGTGCTATAATCGACAACAGCGGTCTTATCTTGGCCCCCAATCTTATGCAGGAACAGGTAAGGCAGCTTCTTTCCAATACGTCCGGACGATGTACGGGTAGCCGAAGTTCAATCTTTCGTATGTGTGAAAGCGACGGTTTCATGTTGAGAGTACGTGCATTGTTTGTCCACACTCCTGCTTCCGTGCACGAATCCGCCCTTCGCACATTTCATTCGAAATGGTTGCTTGCTTCGCCAAGGTATTTAACGTCACCTCAGACCTTTCCCTAAACTCGTTCTACAGATGGCCGTTTTTCACGCACTGGGCCTGGCTCCCATCCGCCAGCCTATTGGTGCCATGTTCCCGATTCCGCGCGATCTACGACGAGTCGTTCTGTTGGTCCCCAAGGCCGGCCTCAGCCTCTTGCGCGAGTTCACTCAGCCGGAGCTGTACCTGGCGCTTGCAGGGACTCTAGAACCCTTCGAAAACTTCTTTGTCAGCGTGCACACAGTTTTTGTGCGGGTACGCCGAGGGGGCAAGTGCCGCGGTCAAGAGGATCTTGACGGCTGGAGCTCCTTGAACAGCCATCTCATGGTGCGGGATACGCGGGAGCAAGATCCGGAAGCAGAGCTCATGGTACGAACATGCGGAAACGAAGTACGCGCAACCCTATTTTATTTCGATACTACGATTGTTCATCCTCGCGATTTGTTTCATGAGCGCTGATGCCGAGGCAACCCCAGACATGAGATGCGAACATTGATTGATCTAATGAAAACCGCCTGGAGGGCGGTTTCGATCAAGTAGATGTGGATGTACACGACAATGAGAACAGAAACGAGGGTTGCAATGTGTAGACAATATCGCGTCCATCAACTTCGACAAAACATTGGTTTTTCTGTTTAGGGCAATCTGATTATCAATATACACATATTCTCCGCGACGGATTCAACCACAGGTCTCCGCCATGGTGCCCAGCTTCGCGCTAATGATGGCGCCTCCAGCTTTTACGGAGCTGCAGCTGCGGCCTCGAGACGGCATCGAGGTGTTTCAAGCTCCGAAGAGCGTCATAAGGAGGCTTGGGGGATATTTCAAGAAACACTTCTTCAAGGCCACCCTCGACAACGCCGACAAGACCGCGGTCCTCATTCCTGGTGCAACCGGTGATATCTTGCACGGTGGCGTGTCACGCCCACGCTTTTCGTGCCCCGATCGTGTTGCTTGCCCCGACCAAAACTCGTCGCGACCGTCGCCCCCGATGGGAAGAGGCTTACGTAAAGCGGTCGACACGCACCGCTTCATGCACGGCGATGCCGCAATCGACCAGGCGGTGGAGCTCGTCCAACAGGCCGGAAGTACTAGTGGGGACGCTCGGCTGGTGTACCGGGTAACACTGGTCATGGCGAACGACGAGGCACGCCAGTGCCTTGCGGCAGGAGGGGCACCAGTACTAGAGACGTTGCATGATCCTTTCTCTGTGCGGGTGGCGCTGGGAGAAGGGCTTGGCCACGCGACCGGTCTGCCATTTCCGATCGAGCAACGGCGTGTGCAAATGGAGTACAGCAAGCGCCAGGGATACGTGATTTACACCGTACCCCCCGTCAGGCAGCCCCTCAACTTTCCGTTGGCATGGACGGGGCTCGACATCGAAGGAGTAGGAAAGGCAGTTCTGCCGTCGATGCCTTTTTGGTCTCCTGCCGTTCCTCTTTCATCACTGCCGAGGCTGGATTTCCAGGCTGAGTGGGCCCACCAAAAGGTACGTCCATTCACTTGACAGAGGGTCACCCACGGGAAGTGGTCGGTCAGATTTGGCGTTTGTGCTTGGTGCTCCCTCTATACGGCGCCCAAATCCGGGCATCATGTGATTCTTCTGCAACAGAGTCAGAGTCCCCACAACTTTTTCCACGATGAAATCCTTCATGCTCCCAAAGTATATGCAGGAACGCTCCGTCTTGGGTGTCCGAAAACTCATGCCGATCGATGCCAAACATTATTGCTGTTCGACATGAGTAATCTTGTGCTCGAAGGTCATGGGCGGCGTCTCGTTCACCCCGGCGGAAAGGTCAATGCGGGAGGAGCTCCCCACGCCTAACTCAGAGGTCGTCGATCCGGTGTTACTTGGGCTGAAGGTGATGATGATGGAGGTTTTTCCTGGTTTTGAAGACGAGCACTCTTTCAGAAAGTTTTCGTGGACGAACTTGCTTCATACGTTTCAGTCACCCGGACTTTTCAAAAACTTGAATAATCTTGTTCCACCTCTCTGGTCTGGCACAAAATGCCTGACGGGCGAGCACTTCATCAATAGAATTTCGACCGGCGTTCACGAAAAACGCGAATTTTCTAGTAGACGCTATCGCACGGGGCAAGTGCATAATCGTTCGGCGCCACTTTCTCCGTTCGATTGTAGTACAACGTTACGACATGTCTTGCAATTGTGGTGCTGTCACCCCAGAACCACGCCCTTGTCTGCAGAATGTCTCAAACCAACGAAGACAAGGGGAAAGAGTAGAAGGAGGAAATAGTCGGTCGCGTCTCGTAGCTACATAGTGTAGTTATCATCATCTCCAGTTTTGTAGCCAACAACTCCTTGTATCGATAGTTATCATCATCTCCAGTTTTGGAGGCTTGTGAGTGGGTAATTTTTTTATACACCGCTATTGTGGTTACAAACGAGGATTTGCGAGCAGAATCGAATCCGTCGTTGTGTCGGCTTTGAGCAGTGAATCTCGGCTCCTTGAAGTTGGTTATCTTGATTCGAGAGTGAATGTAGAGGTAAGCGGTGGCGTGATCTGCACTCACCAAGATGGTGGTCGATGAGCGGCCAGTGGGAGACCCGTAAGTCTTTGCAAGTACATTACGTCAGCAAGCCGTTGCAGGCGTACAATGTACCAACAACGGCGGCAGTACAGAGCTTCGGAGATGGTGGGGCAGATCTCTTGTGTGATTGCTGGACGCTCTTTCGATCATTGCAAACATCGTGCAAGGTTGGATGGGTATGTTCCCACCCCACAGCGTCGAACACGCCGACTATTGGTGTTGGAATACGGGTCAAAGGTCGTTTGGTGATGAGATGGATTTTTTGGGCGGCGGAGTGTCATGGCTGTCTGGGCGCAGACAATGACTAGCGTTTGGCGATGAGTGAAGTACCTCCGTTCACCCTTTCATCTGGAGCAGAATGACGCCGGATACACAACATTCAACACGCGTAGTGAAAAATAGAGATGTTTGGAGCTGATTGCGTTGGACAAAGTCACAAAACACAAAGTAATGTCATTCCAACATACGTGTGCAAAAAATATTTTATTGCGCCTCGAAACTAGTTCCTCAAGTGCAGCCCAAGTAGCCCTTGGCTGGCGTGACGTTCACACCACAAGCTGTCCACGTATTTGTGCAACCTTGATTTCACCCCATCTAGGAGGAGATTCTCGCCATTATTTCCACGGCCTGCGAACATCATGATGAAGCTCACGCCTCATCATGGAAGCACCCCTGGATGTGCATCACGGAAAACAGACGGGATGACGAACCCGCTCTGTGGGTGTGGGTGAATGAGATTCTTCTGGACTCCACAAACGAGGCCCTCATTCTCGACTGCTGCGTGATGCTGGCGGACAGGATGGACAGCGCAGCGTCCATCCTGCTAGGCACTGCCCTGGAACTGGACATCATCCAAGGACGCGGTGCCCATATCCGCTTCCCGAAGGTGAGCATCGTTTTGGTAGTCTCTGCACAACATAGTTTGCTCTCTGCAGCATCGTTCTGTTGTGATATTCACCCCGTGTTCGTAAAGGTGCAACCATGCGTGTGCTGTGCTTGGGATACTCGTTCGCGCATGCACATGTCTCTGTTGGTAGCTCGTTTTCGGTGCCCCAAGACCGATATCGATGTGCTACATTGGTGTTCGCTCGGTATGAGGGCAATGGGGAATAGGCACCCTGCTCGTGACAGACACAAGCACCAGGTACACAGCACAAAGTCCGGCAACATTGGTTTCGCAACCGTCTTTAATGGTCTGCTGCTCGCCTCTCGCGCCTGGATCCGTAGGCGGTTTCTGGGGGAGTGGCTCTGTGGGGGTCATTGCTCCCTGCCGCCGTCGAACGCGCCCGGCAAACCTACGCCCACACCGCCGACTGCATATACCCGACGCCGGGATATTCCGGCCGGACCCTTTGTAGCTGCGGGATGGGCAAAGACCTACCTCCAGGGTTCGTCGAATCCATGCGCTCAGCAAAACTCGTACCGTTGCAGACATGCTTCCACAGGGCGGCGTTGTCGCCGCTTTTCCCGGCCTACGAGAAGCTCTCCACTCAATTTTTCGCATCCGGGACCGCCGCCGACGGATCGAGGAAGTGTGCTAAATGTGGCAAAAGCGGCAAGCCCCTTCAGTGTTCCCGCTGCCGCAACGTGTCCTATTGCTCGAAGGAATGCCAGCGCCAAGACTGGAAGAGCCACAAGCCTTCCTGCCGCTAATGGAGCGAGTACGCTTGGTTTCGTGGGTGAGAGGGTGCAGGAAGCTGGCATGCGCGTCGGTCGTAGCTTCGCATGTTGCGCGAGCTCGTGCTGGGCTGGGGTTCGTGGTGCGATTGGGGCGCAAGGCACCTTCCCGAACAATATTGCCAAAAATGATAACATGTGTTCATCGGTTCGGTATTTCATGCGCTGGAAGGAGTACGTTCTCATGTTTTCAAGAATGGTTTCTCTCATCCTCGTTCGGCCCTCCAACCTCTTGCGCGACGGCGCAGAGGAGGTGCGCTAACACGTGTTGAGAAGCACGATGACCACTGAACTACCAGTCAGCGCTGACTGGTAGTGCAATGGTCATCATTGTTCTCAACAAATGTTCATGCCCGAGTCCGTCAAGCTTTCCTTCAAGCCACGAACACGTCACCCGAGGGGTTGGACCCGTGGGGGGATTTGTGATGCCATGTCCCTTGCAAAGCCGCAGCAATACCAATGGGGCAGAATTATTTTGATTGAATTTCATGTGGTTCTGGTGTTTTCTTTGTTTTTTCGTTCTGCTTTGGTTGCGGTCGAGAATTAGGAGGAAGGAACCCGTTGACAGGATATCCAGACGCAGCGCCAGCGAATGTTTTCAAATGTTTGCAGGGCATGTTTCAGCTTGGTGGCCTTTTCGTACGAATTGTGTTGAGGTCTCCTGTAGAACAAGTTGAAGAGGAAGAGAGAGGAGGCAGATCTATCTGCATTTTTCGGCGACTGTTTCAAATGTCCCAGGGGGGGTGCGTTGAATATTTTGACATTGATGTTGATTTTGTTGTTTTATGCCGTACCACATACCAGTGAGAGAACGGATGAACCGATTTCTGTTTCGGGGAAGAACAGTAGGGTGGCTGACAGCTTTGTGTATTTCTTTGGAATGGCACTTGTATTCTGGGCTTGTGTGTTGGGCGAAGGATGTGACATTTTGTCATGAGCAATGGTCAGGACCTCCGCGCTTTCTGAACGCTCGTTTTGTTGGTTTTCTCAGATATGTATGCTCGTCAGCCGAAGAGAGCAGGACGGAAATGACTGAATGGATATAGCGATGTGTGCCGGACGGATGATGGTGGAGGCGATAGCAGGTATCCCCTATTTTTTCCGTCGTGTCGCAAACCCCGCCCCGTCGCAGTGCCCCCGAAGCGATGTTGTTGTCGTTGTAAGTCATTCATCTGTTTGGTGTCGCGTTCGAGTAGTTGCCTATTTCGTTGCTCCGGTAGACTGGAGGGTTGGAGGGGGACCTGCCTATCTCCCTTCGTTTTTCCGTTTCACTCTTATTCTTTCTTTTTCTCTCGTTCCTTTATCTTGTTTTGACCCGGGGTCGATCGTCTGTATCCCGGTTATTGTTTTTTTCCGTTTGGGGAAAACCAAATCGCACCTTGGAGAACTTCTCTGGGGTCCTACTTATTCTAGAAAGGTGTACCTCCTTTTGGGTAGTCAGTCGGCTTGTGACCACGTAAGGCGTCCGCGTCAGTTGGGCCAGTACGGACTTGGGAAGGTATTGGCGGAGACCGGAACGGTTTTAGTGAGAAGACAACGACAACGACAACAACACCCTCCGACGCTTTTCTGATGTACATGTAGCGCATGCTTGTTGGGTACTTCTGAGGATGATTCTATTGTGTTGACGGTTGGGAATATATCCAGCGGTGAATGGATTGGGTACGTCAATACACTGATGAAGTCGCTTTCGGCTGAATGCGTACCCAGTTTTTCGTGGAGGATATGTTCCGTGAGTGTTGCTCTCTGTCGATTGATTGGTTGGCTGAGTTTCGTGAAGAATTTCAATATCGTCTTTCGTATCGAGCAGTCGGGTACGTGGGTACACAATATCAGATCTGGGAAAGCTGGGAATCTCTGTATGGGTGGTACGCATGTGCTGTTGCAAGTCCAAGTGTGCCCCCCCCCCGAGAGAGAGCACGCGCACATTTGTTCATTGATTCGGTGTTGTTGTGCCGGAAGGTTAGAGGGTTTCTGACATCACTGCACGGTCCTAGTCTAACGTACTGCAGTCCCCCATCAACCTCTGCTGGAAGGCGCAGAGGTGCACCAACTGAAAACGTCCTCCCGCGCGGCAGAGACTCCCACTCGCCTTCCCTCCCGAACGGTTGGTCCGAAGAATGGCTCGGAGTAAGTACATCCCCCGCCTCCTTGTTCTTGAATTCCCGCTCGGTTATTTTTTTCGGTTAGCCTCCGCTGGGGCTATTACAAGATTAGGTGACCAGTTTCTTTAGCAGCATTTGAGGCATGTACCACGGCGAGTACCTCTTCACGTGTTCAATAGGCGTCATGGTGCCCGTAGGAAAAATGAGCTACTGATGTTGGTGAAAAGTCAGCAAAAAACCTGAGATGAGTATACACCGTTTGTGGGGCTGAGTCCCTGTCCTCGAACTGTTGCTAACCCCCCTAACATGTATTTTTTTTCCTTTTTTTTTTTTGGCGGTAACCATAATCAATGGTGGTCGAGTAGACCATGTTGTGCGGGGTCGAGAACCCTCACTCCGCGCAAGGGGGATGATCGCACCACGTTATGTTATCCTCGAGGCAGTTACACAGTGCTTACAACTGTCTCTGGAAGTGAAAGCACCAGAAAATTTATTCAAGTCATACGCAGCTGTCCTCCGTATGCAAGTAAGCACAAGATGCCGAAAACCCTTAGCGAGATGCAGCGCACCCTTCATGCGACTCGCCGAATACCTCACGGCGCTTCGCGCNGTAGGGATGCGAGGTCAATGGTCTAACGACTACGGCATGCACGACTATGAGTACACCCCCCTCCCCCCCCTAAACAAATTATGACTTCGAGTCGGAGTAATTTCAAGCTCTTCACTTGGGCTGTTGAAAACGGCGACGGCTATTTGACCACATCACGCCCATTTCTTGTGTCAACAATATCGGAGGGTATGCCAAAGTGCCAACCCCCACTGACAGGTAGGTGCCCCCACGCGTCCCATGCCTTCGGCAAGCACTCAGCATCAATGCACGTCCTGGCCCACGATACAACCCTTTACAGTATGGGGTGGAAAATGCGATGCACCGGGAAGTTGCGTGGAACTCCTGAAGAATAACGCCTCGCCAAAAGTGGTATACTAACCAACTACTTGCGTTATTCCTCAGGACAACCACACCTAGTGTATGTTGCGTGCTCTTTGCATCGCGTCCTATTGACACCGATAATGGTAGTACAGTTCAACACGCAACACTTCTTTCCGTTGACATTCACATCGCCGTCCAAGGCATGGCTTTTGCATCGCTTGGCCACTCCCCCAACCGGAGCAAAACTTGGCCTCTTGCCGCACCCCTCGGTGTCGCACATCTTGTTGATAACGTCGACATCATCGGCCAGCCTATGCCCCTTGCACCTCATCGGCTTTCCTTTCACTGTAGAGAATGTGGCATACTTCGTGCACGGCACCGCACTGCCCGGGTCGCGACCTTGGCACATCCCCCGCAGCCCCCTGGTGTCGCCGTGGGAGAAGTGGGCCAAACAGTGCCTGACCCCCGTCGTGGGGTTCACGAAGCAAGGCCTGCCGTTGCAATTCTCCTCGTCACACCTTCGCCGATTAGTGTTCATGTCCCCCTCAAGCTTATGTGATGTGCACCTGAGCCGAGCGTGCGCACGCTCTTATTCATGGGCGTACTACTATACAACCGTCGACGAGTGTGTTTTCGAAAAATTCCACGTCCGTCCTGATGATGAGGGGTTCAGCACTCGGGAACGAGAAAGTGCGGCAAGGGTGGGATTTGGGTGTGTAACCCGCTAGTAGAGATCGGACTTACCTAACAGGCTTTGTCCCCGGCGGGGAGTACGTTGGGGTGACTCGGCACCCGGGAGACATGCATGGCGGCCGAAGAGGATCTATCTCATCTGGTCGGGAAGGAATCAGGTGAAGGGGACGGGGGAGTGGGGAGGTGGGGAAGGCCGGTCGGGGTGGCACACGCACAGACCAACAAGCTTGCCATGGTTGATCTACATGCCTAAATATCCTTGCCCGCATGTTTGAATGAGTTCATCGATCTCGCTTGCGATTGAATTCATGCAGCAATCAATCGTCGGAGTCCTTATTAAAAATACCTGGTTGCCGATGGTTCGTGCAGTGCATGGACCTCATGCCCCGTATCCCGAACCGAGAACGCATTGTGCAGCCTGCAACGATGCACCTCCGGTGCTTGACGTTGGTATCCCCGTCAAGTTTATGAGATGCGCATCGCATTGGTTGCTGTCCGTCACTTGCGAAGCTAGGCTGCCTATCACATCCCTTGTGTGTACACGATTTGCGTCTCCACCCGCGGGAAGATGTCGCCGCCGTCGTGGTATCACATGTTGTGTCACTGGAAACGTCTGATCGGGATTCTGTCAACCGTGAGAGAGAGAGGTATGTCAGAGGCTAAGGAACATTTTCGGGTACGTCTTTGACACACTCGGGGGCATGGGGCCATGGTATTTAGTCCTCGAGAATAATAATGTGTTGTCGTCATCCAATTGATCAACCGTCGGCGCTGGTACTTGTACTGTACGACGAAACGCCCTCTCTCCTAATAATGCTCACGAAAACAGGAAAGCAAATGTGATAATTGTTACAATACATATCTACAGCAGTATTGACCACACCCAAAAGATAGAGCGGATCATCGCCGCCAGCGGGAAAATGATAAGTGGTTGCTGATTCTCGGGTGAAGTCGGAGGCTACAGGCTGAACTCACCAGAGTGAAAGCTCGCCTCAGCCTTGGGGCGTGCTGAACGCGCACTGGCCACGTAAATCGTGTGCGAAAGATCTGGCATTCTCGAAATGGCCGATGATGCCGAATCATCAAGGGATGTTGAATCAGCCAACACTACCTCCGAAAGAACCGGCCTATCGAGAGAGGCAGCCGCCTGAAGGATATGTCGGATTTGCCCTGTGATCTTGATAGACGCAGGCCTCTCCGGCATCACGTTTCCTGGTGGGTCAGTCGACATGATGAGCCCGGAATAC